TTTAATATGTTACTTTTTAAAAATTGTGGTAACATAACACAAAATTTACCATCTTGACCATTTTTAGGTGAACAGTTCAACATTCAAAGTACATTCACATTGTTGTGCAACCAGTCTCCAGAACTTTTTCATCTTGAAAAACTGAAACTCTTAGGCCACTAAACTCCCCATTTCACCTCCCCTCAGCCCCTGGCAACCACCCTTCTTTGAATTTGACTACTTACGTGAGGAAGTCGGTGAAATTGTACCACCTGTTGGTCACTGTGAATAAGGCTGCTGTGAAACTGATGTGTTAATTTTAGGGCTGCCATAACAGAGTACCACAGACCAAGTGGCTTAAACAACAGAAATGTATTTTCTCACAGTTCTGGAGGCTAGAGGTCCAAGATCAAGGTGTCAGCAAGGTTGGTTTTCTCTGAGGCGGCTCTCCTTGGCGTGTAGATGGCCGTCTTCTTCCTCTTCACAAGGTCTTTCCTCTGTGTGTCCAAGTCCTAATCCTCTCCTCCTCTTCTCGTAAGGACACAAATCATATTGAATTAGAGCCATCCCAATTATTTCACTTAACCTTAATTATACCTCTTTAAAGAGCCTATCTCCAAATACTGACACATACTGAAGTATTGGGAGTTAGGACTTAAAGATATAATGGAGGCTGGGGGGAAGCCCACAGTTCAGCCCATAACACTGAGGGAACAAATATCTGAGACCCTGTTTTCTGTTCTTTGGGGGTATATATCCAGAAACAAGATAACTGGCTCATGTGGTAATTCTATTTTAACTTTTTGGAGAAAGATAAATATGTTGCTTTGTACAGCATATTTTGCCTACTTACTTTTCCTCAAACCTCTCTGGCCATCATAACTCTTCTCAAACAAAAGATCTCCACAGCTCACATCAAGCATCACATCCGCATACGTTTTTGCTGGTTTATGGGATGATCCTCAAGCTCCTGGGCACATTGGTCTCAGCTCCCTCAATTTCTACAGTGGCACATTTCTAAAATTTCATCAGGGGTGACCATAGAAAAGGTTTAATTGGAAAACAAAGTTCATATTCTAGCTCTATTCAACTCTAGTGTGACCTTGAGCAAGTTACTATGCCTCTCAAGCCTCAGCTTCTTCATACAGTGCAGTAAGGATGTTGGGCTGGCATACATCCAGAGGGACCAGGCAGAGATGATGCCAATGGCGAGAACAGGCCACGTGTGTGACGCAGAAGACAGCAGTAGGGACCCTGGAACAATGGAGGGGACATGCCTCAGCCTCATCGCTACTCACAAATGTGGGCTTGGAGTTGCCTGCCCATCTCGTTTCTCATTAGAATCTGTGGAAGACTGGATTTTGTAGGAATTTCCTGTTACTTAATTTAGCAATCATTCAAATTTTTTTAAAAAATCTCTTTGGGCCCAAAACATACTTCTCCCAGCCAGCCTGGGTCTGTGGGCCAGCAGTTTGCATCATCTAGGCAGACCATCCTCCAGGATAGATGTCCCCTTACCTCTGGCTCCTGCATCATCAGCGCTAGCCCTGGGACACTGCAGATGGTCCCCAGCTTCCCCAGCCTGCAATATAGCATCTCTCCACCATTCTATATGAGTTCCTTTATGACCAGCTTTTTTTCACTTACCAAGGTCCACCTATATTGCTGCATATATAATACTTTATTATAGTTATTGCCAAGTAATATTCCATTGTATGAATTACTTATCCATTCATCAACTGGTGGACTTTTGGGTTACTTCCACTCTGTGGCTATTATGAGTAATGCTGCTGTGAATGTTCATGTGCAATCCTTTGTGTAGGCATATATTTTTCCATTTTCCTTACATATATACCAAGGAGTGGAATTGCTGAGTTGTATGGTTTTGAAGATAGACCAAAATGTTTTCCAAACTAGCTTCATCATTTTACATGGCTATACGCAATGTAGGAGGGCTCCAGTTTTTCCATATCATCTGTCTTTTTTATTATAGCCATCCTAGTGGCTGTGAAGTGGTGGTATCTCATTGTGCTTTTGATTTGCATTTGCTTAATAACTAATGATGTTGAGCATCTTGACATGCATTTATTGGCCATTTGTATATCTTCTTTGGAGAAATGTCTATTCATATCCTATGACCATTTTTAATTGAGTTGTCTTTTTACTGTTGTACTACAAGAGGTTCTTATATACTCTGGATATCTCATTTTTGTCCCCCAAATTTAAGGATGCTCAGAATATTCTTCTTACTAAGATAGGATATTATTCTAATATGTGCAAAACAGGATAGATTAACAGAAGGTTTTTTCTTTTAATATGCTTGATGGATGTTATTAAATTTGACCATATGGTGTTAAGGAAATATAGTATTTTCTCCGTAATCTATTATATTTTAGCTAAAATAGCTGGAGAAGGAAATGGCAACCCACTCCAGTATTCTTGCTGGGAAAATCCCTTAGAGGAATCTGGTGGGCTACAGTCCATGGGGTTGCAACGAGTCAGACACAACTGAGCAACCGACCATAAGCTGATAAATGTACCTGTTAAACCCCAAAGAAAATTAATTGTTTTTCTATTTGTATTTGGTTTTAACCATCCTAGTGACTCATTCATAGTTTTCAAAAGTAAAACAAATATTAGGTTGAAAAATACTTACAAAAAGGATTTACTCCTAGGGAGGTAAACTCTGAATCACAGAAGGACCAAAAAAAAAAAAAAAAGGATTACTTTTTGCTATATTTTATACTACAGGTGGTATGCTATTAAAAAATTAAATTTTAAAAAGCACTTGTAGAATATCTTGGTTATACCCTTAATCTTAGGATGGAATTAATTTAAAATCATGACCAAAAACTCAGACAAGATGAGAGAAGCTTAGATATGAACCTCATCAAGTAAATTATGGTTACAAAATAACCCAGAAGCCATTAGAGATTTTTTTAATTGTATTAAATGTGAACTATACATATTTTCCAACCACTTTGTTTCTTGCTTTGATGTTTAAGTAGATAAAGCATTCATCTTTCTCATAAGGCTTAACCAGGCAGGACTGCTCCCAACCCATGGGATTAGTGAGTGGCATCTTAGCAGTAAAGAGGCAAAAGCCAATTAAAGCCCATCACAGCATCCTTGCTCTTGATCCAGAAAATAACCTGAGCAACATTCATTACCATGCAGTGCCTCTCCAAACAGAATCCCTTGAAACCTGATGGTTTATTTAACCCAAGAAATCTGTAAAGGTTTACAATATAAAGTCAACAGCTCGGTGGAAAGAGGCCACATTCACCTTGATTTTTGAAAATCAATCAAAACACAGTTTCCCACCTCGTATAACCCATCTTGGGTTTTTGAAAAGCAAGAGGACTTTTTTTTCTGTGTCTAGAATTTAAAGAGAAATTATATCAAGCCAAAGTGAAGTGGCTTCATCTCTGAGTTTCCAAATTCTCAAATATCATCAAATGGAAAACCTATGGGAGATTCCCTGCTTCCATTTCCTCTTACTACTAGTTTGGAGTCTCACAATTTTGTGTTATGTGTTCTACAAATGAACCTGGTTTCATAAGATCCATATAATTCTTTTGAGAATTTTTTTTTAAGATTGAAGAGCTCAGAACTTCTGTTTCATGTATCTTCAATTAACAGGTAGGTATGTACAGAAGTAGAATTATGTGCCATGCCCAGAAGACAGAGGACTGAGGAGTATAATGTCCTCAATAAGTTACCTATCTATCTGGGATGCTCAGACAAGAAGCCCAGGGGGTGACTTTAGGTGGGAGTTTTCAATGGAGTGAGCTAAGAGCTCAGCCCCCAGAGGTGATGGGTCCTGGTGATGGGGAGGTGAGTGAGGAGGCCAGACTTCTCTCCTGCTCTCAGCCCTGGTGCCCAGGCAAAGTGCCAGCCAGGTCTGTCCCACGTGGCTACCAGCCAGCCCCCTAGCCCACCTCTTCTAACACCAACATCAGACTCTTCCACCATTGTGTGTAGATATTTTGCTCCTGAAAACCATCACATGGAAAATTTCCACAGGTTAAAAATATAACTTTTATTTCAGTAGGGGGGAAGACTGTACATTCCTGAGCCACTAAATTCCCAATTTAAACACTATCAATGTTAGCTGAGGCCATTGGGGTCACAAAGAGTCAGACACGACTGAATGACTGAACTGAACTGAATGTGTGTGTGTGTGTGTGTGCATGCTTAGTCTTTTTCCAGCTCTTCAGGACCCCATGAACTGTGTAGCCCACCAGGCTCCTCTGTTCATGGAATTCTCCAGGCAAGAATAATGGACCAGTTACTTAACTCTGGTTATCATATTATGACAAAACAAGGTGGCTTCCCTTCCATAAAGGACTCTCCAGTACTGTATACCTGAATTCCTTTGGCTTTTGTTGTTAACCTTGTTAGGAAGGGTCCATCTCAACTGTCCTCACAAAGCACATGTATTTTTGTAATTCATTGTTACTCTAAATGTTGGCCTTGGATCAGCAGCAAGAGCATCACCTGGGAGCTTGTTACCATGGGATCCATGTCAGACCCAATCAAACTCTGCGGGTGGGGCCCAGGAGTTGGGGCTTTCACAAGCCCCCAAGGGGATTCTGCTGCACTTTTAGGTTTGAAAAAATAAATTGTCAATGCTAATGAGGGATCAGGTTATCTTCTATAAACTAGAAAAACATCAACACTGTTGAGAAAAGGATTTAAGCAGTGAGAGCTAACTATTCAGAGCTGGAGATGGGCCTCTAGATTGCCAGAAGTCTACCATCACAAGGTGTGGGCCCCACAGATCACCTCTCAGAAATACAAAGTGTCTCGTGCACTAAAGTGGACAGAGAAAATGCACTGCCAATAAAGCCAGATTCTTCGGACATAAGTGCACATACCTCTAGGTATGACCGCATCTCCTTCAAACAGCCCACATTTTTCTTTCCCCCAAAGCTTACCCACCTCAGCCACCACTTGGAAGGGGTCCTTGGATTTTGTTCTGAAGGCTACATGCTCATCATTCTTCCTTATTTTTCCAGTAAAGGGTTACCTTCCAGTTCCACCTTTACCTTGGAAGAGGGGACCATCTACTTGACTTCTGAGCCAAATGCTCTGGAAATGCAAGATGATAATGCCTCCGTGCTTGATGTCTATTTAGTAAGTAATATCTGGTTTCTTTCCCTTCTTTTCCTCCTCGTTTACAAATGGATCCAGGCCATAGCTCATAAAAGAACAAGTTCTGTAAGGTAAGGTATATTTGAGTTTTAAAAGAAACAATGGCACCCCATCACTTCTACAAACAGTGCATCTTTTTACAAATTATGTCATCCCACAGTTCTTATAGAACAGCACACAGAAGAACATGGAGGATAAAATCCTAAATCACCATACGTAATGAGAACAAATTCCCTATTGTTGAAGCCAACTGGGGCACCTTGGTGTCATTCTTCACAAACTAACATCTATTTTGACTCAACTGTATCCACTCGTGTGGGGGCGTGTGGGTTCCTGTAGCCAAATAATGAAGCTAAGATCAGTGCAATGCAAGCTTTGTTCAATGCCCGAAGAATGGAGAGGTGAGACCATAGTTCTCAGGTCACCCGTGTGGTGAGAAGGTTTGATTTTAAGAGTAAAGACAAGAGGAGGAGGAATGAGGCGAATGCTGAGTGGAGGCATGTGCAGTAGTCTGTGTGGGAAGGGACAGGGATTTTTGAGGCAGTAGGGTGCCACTCTTTTTATCCTTTTTTGGGCCTTAATTTCTAGTTGTGACCACCACTGGGCATGTCATTTAATTCACGAATGTAGTAAAATCAGTGTGTAATGAGATCCAGGGTCTGTTTGAGGTCAGATTTATCACCATCTTGGTCCCTGCTGGTTCCATCTGGGTTTTTGGTTTTTTGTTTTTGCTTCTCGCCTTATAATTTCCTTTCTTATCTCTGGATCCTGTGACTTAACTCCTACTGAGGGTAGGGGTTGGCAGGTTTTGAGCAAGGACTCAGGGCAGCTCGGCGACTCTTTGTGTCCTTATTGACCGAAAGAGGGAATTAATACCTACCTCACAAGGCTGCTTGGTAACAGCCATTCTGACAGGTGTGTGGTTTTGATTTGCATTCTCCTGATGATTAATGATGTTGAGTCTCTTTTCATATGTCTATTGGCCATCCGTAGGTCTTTGGAAAAATGCTTATTCAGGTCCTCTGCCTATTTTCTAATCTGGTTGTTTATATATATAAACAACATAATCTATATAAAAATCAGATTATTTATATGTATACACATATATATGAATAATCAGGTTTCATATATATATATATATATATAAGTTGTTGAGTTGTATGACTTCTTCATATATTTTGGATATTAACCCATTATCAGACAATCATTTGCAGATGCCTTCTCCCATTCGGTAAGTTTTCATAGCATAGTATTTTGAACAACAAAGATAATGGCCAAACTGGGTACATACCACACGCAGGCACTATACCAATGCTTTTCTTACACTAACCCTTTCATGAAGGTAGGTGTTCAACTTACCTCCATTCATGCAGATGAGGAACCCGGGGCTTAACTGATCAGTTCTCAGACCTTTTAAGTGGCAGAGCCAAAATTCAAATCCAGCTCCTACCTAAGCCCCCCATCACTGTAATATTACCCATGAAGCCCCCTATCACTGTAGTTGCTTCTGATTGATGTATCCATCTCATTGGAATCATGCTCCTGACGAAGGTGAGGAAGTGGATCCAAAAAGGAAGGAGTGAGGATTTTTAGTTTTTATAAAATTCCTCTTTCGTCCTTTCTATTTTTTCACGTTTTTGTTGCCTCGGTTCTTAAACCTTTTGATCTCTGGATCCCTTCATATTCTAAAAGTTGAGGATCCCAAATAGCTTTTGTATATGTGGATTATATCTATCAATATTTTGTATAAAATATTGATTTGAAACTATTAAAGTGTTAAATATATTTTTATGAAAATTTCTATTTTTCAGAATGAAAATAAGCTTAGTGAAAAGAGTGGCATTATTTTACGTTTTTGCAATCCCTCTTGTAAGAAGCTGGGTGTCTGCTTCTACATTGATCTGGCATGATCCAGCATGTGACTGTATTCCAGTGTGCACCCATGAGAGGGAATGAGAAAGGCAAATAACATCTTAGTATTAATAAGAAAATAGTTTGACCTCATGGATCCCCAGAACTGGTCTCCCACACCATTGTTCTAGTACTTTAACTTACCCCTTCTACTTGTGCAGAACTAAATGAAACAGGAATTAATTAGAAACAGGCACTGAGATTCTATGCTTGCCTCTGCCTCTCATTAATCACTGACAGTGAATTAATCACCCTTTTTGGTCCTTAGTTTTCTCATCTATGAAATGGATCATTAAATCACCTCTTAAGACCCCTTCCAGCTCTGACTGGTCATGGCCTATTCTAAATTACAAGGAATTCCAGAAACAAGGTGGTTTTTTTCCCCCTCAGAATAGCTATAAGCTGTTTTTTCAAATTGCAGTTTCATCACACATTCCACCATCAACCTTCACAGTATTTCAACTTTTGTGGCAACACATTCAGAAAATTCTGCACCATTAACTTATATTTCCAGGGTGTGTTTTCACTCTGGAGATTATTTTGCATGCTCTTCCAATCTGAGAGGCCCCAACTCACTGCCCTGCCTTCAGTATTTTCATTTGTCTCCACACTATGAAAGAATGGATGGCAAAGGAAAGCATCAGAAAGGAAAACCAATCTTGCCAACATCTTTGTCTCTCCTTCCTCTTGACCTGATTAGAATCCTCTTAATCATAGCCATCTTTACTGAAAGGGCATTTGAAGGTTTCTGTGGTGATATTATACTAGGTGTTGTAACCAAACATAAATTTTTCTTATAATGTTTCTCCTCCTTTAAGAATTGTTGGTTGTGCTACCAATTGCTAGTGCTATTTGTATACTAATGGACAGTACTGTTTATATCTCTTTAAAATATAATTTAAACTCAAATGATTAATGCACACCAGATAACATAAGAAATTTCCTTTTAAAAGATGCATTCATAAATATCACTCATTATTAGAGAAATGCAAATCAAAACTACAATGAGGTATTACTTCATATTGGTCAGAATGGCCATCATCAAAAAAATATACAAACAATAAATGCTGGAGAGGGTGTGGAGAAAAGGGAACCCTCTCTTGCACTGTTGGTGGCAATGTAAATTGATACAGCCACGATGGAGAATACTATGGAGGTTCCTTAAAAAACTAGGAATAAAACTACCCTATGACCCTGCAATACCAATACTGAGCATATACCCTGAGAAAACCATAAGTCAAAGACACATGTAAGCCAGTGTTCATTGCAGCACTATTTGAAATAGTTAGGACATGGAAGCAACCTTGATGTCTATCAATAAATGAATGGATAAAGAAGTTGTGGTACCTACATACAGTGGAATATTAATCATTAAAAGGAATGAACTTGAGTGAGTTGTGGTGAGGTGGATGAATGTTCAGCCTGTTATACTGAGTGAAGGCAAGTCAGAAAGAGAAAAATGTATATTAACACATATATACGGAATCTAGAAAAATGATACTAATGAACCTGTTTGCAGGGCAGGAAGAGAGATGCCCTCAGAACAGACTTGTGGAGATGGGGGGAAGCGAGGGTGGGATGAGTTGAGAGAGTAGCGTTGACACATATACCGCCTGCGTGGAAGGCTCGCAGGAAGCGGCTGGCACAGGGAGCTGAGATGAGTGCTCCGGGACAACCGACTCAGGTGGAATGGGGGCAGAGCTGGAGGGAGGCTCTGTCCTCCAATTAAAAATAAAAAGATCCACCCCATTAAGTGCATGTAAATTAGGCTAGCTATTCTGCTTTTTCCAGTAGTTTGACATAAAATTAAAAGGATAGGTTACCTTAAATGGCTGCTAATTGTTCCATTATCCTTATTCAAGCATTTGGTTCAGGTTCCATGTTCCCAGTTATTTCTTGGAAAAAGGCCATTGTTCACCCTCAGGCTGTAGTTCCAGGCTTTCTGATTCATTTTCAAATACTCGCATCATGGTGTTTTTTAGGATCCTGTCCAATGACCAGAGAGATGTTTTCCACTGAATTTTGAGTTGATGACACAGATTGGAGTATTTAAAAGAATACAGCAGAGATGAGCAGGCTCCTGATTTTAAATGGCCAATCATGCCGTCTTCATGATAGGGCCCGATTCCGCTTTTCAAATTATCTGATATCCTAAGGCTCTGATCACGGTAGCCGTCATTTGGTGTTAATACAGAGAGGAACAACCAACGAATGCAGTGCAGCTGAAAAATGTTGTGGGTGAGAGTGTCCTTTTTCATGACTGACTGGGAGTCAGTGGGTAGGTAGGAGATAATGGAACTGCTTTATTAAATAACAGAGAAGTGAAAGAGGGCTGCCACACAAGAACAGTTTTCTTGCTTCTGTTATGTAGCCTTGAAGTCATGTCCTTTTCCCTTTACACTTTATGTATTAACAGCCTCCCAATAATATATCCTATCATCCAGATGTGTGTTTCTGCACGATGGCTGTTTGAAGTGCAAAAACAGCTGTGGGCAAAGAAACAGTTAAGCCATTTTTTTTAGCCATGCCAGTATTGGCGATTAGTGTTCTGATACGCAGCTGTCAGACAGCTTGGTTATTTAATGTGTCTTCAGGGTGGTTAAAAATACTCTTTGATCAAGGGATGAAGGGTGCCAGAGAAGCGAAAATGATTGAATTAACAGCTTATCATACTATTATCTATGAAAAAAGGCTTGAGAAAAAAAAGACACTTTAAATTAGGTCACGGGGGTCCTAGAAAGCTCAGTGAAACTTTTTGGCAAGAGACACTGCATTTCTGGACTTGACTTTCCTGACGTTGACATTAATGACTTGTATGTGAAGTGTCGGGTCTCTGGAATCATTCCTTGCCTGAGCCAGCACTGGCTGCAAAGGACGTTTATTTGAAACGGTGGCAATTCTGTTGCTTCTCAGCAGAGAGCTAGCATCCCCACCAACCAGAGATGCCACTCACGTTTCTGGTAGGTCTTAGTGTGATCGAAATAGGAAGAGAGAGGCAGTGGCTGTCTTTGGTTTGTAAGATGTTTCACCAGAATGCCAGTTTCTTCCACCGTCTGACCATGTGGTTGAGA